GTTGGACCCCTGCTCAAGGCCAAGAGGGTAGAGGAGCAGGAGGAGGGAGAGGACGAGGCCGTGGAGGCCGTGGCGGTCGCGGTGGCGGAGCTGCAAACATGAAGAGCGGAGACAACGACAAGGACCCGAGCGACGATCGATACCCGGGTCTATTCTACTTCGTGTCGACGCAAGTACCGGCTGGTCCAGAGAAGGATGAAGGCTTTGAGGAGCCAGCAGCTGTGGGGAAGGTGACCCTACACCCCCTGGACTATTGGGTGATTGATAGTGGCGCTACCTATAGCATGACACCTCGCCCGGACTTGCTCACCGAACTCGAGCCGTCACCGGTGAAGCATGTGACATCGGCTTTGGGGCAGCGAGCAGAGGTGAAAGGCATGGGCAAGGCCATGTTCAAGGGTGCTGATGGGAAGATGGTGGGCCTCAAGAACGTGCTTTGGGTGCCCAGCCTTGCTGCAAACCTGATTTCCGTGCGGCGGTTGGCAAAGGCCGGCATGGACACGAACTCGAAGGGAGCCAAGACCTACACCGCAAGGCTTGGCGATCGAATTCTTTGGGACCTTCATGAGGACAGGGATGTCTACAACGAGATGTGGCAGATCCCAGTGGTCCCTATGCCTAAGGAGAGGCAAGTGGCAGCAAGCATCAGCACCAAGGATGGAGCGGTCGGTAGCGACGATGGCGCGAACGGTCGCGCTAAGGAGAATGAGCTCAAGAAGAGCAAACCTGGAGGGACCAGCAAGTTCAGTGAACCTAAGGAGAGTGGTGCAGCAACCAAGGAGCAGCAAAAGGGTGAGGAGAACCCAGAGGCAGCAGCGGAGGAGGACTACGGAGAGAGTATGTGGGGCGCTATTGCGAGCGCGGCATTCTCCAATCCAACTTCGGCTACGGGGGAGTGTGATTGGCTCACCTTGCATCGGCGCATGGGGCATGTGGCCCTGCCCATCTTGCAGCAGCTAGTGAAGAATGAGATGGTTGCTGGCATACGTGTGAAGGGGGAGCCCGATGAGGTGCTTGGCTGCCCGACGTGCATTCAAGCCAAGTTCACCCGGTTTCCGTTCCCTAGTTCGGAGGCAACGGCAAAGGCACCGCTTGATGAGGTGGTGATGGACGTGGTGGGCCCCCTGAAGCTTGGAGCTGCTGGAGCTGAGTATTTTCTCACCATTGTCGACGTCTACACCCGCATGACTTGGGTGTACGTGCTGGCCAAGAAGAGCGACGTGGCTGAAACGTTGAAGACGGATTGGTTCCCGATGGTGGAGCGGCAACAAGACCGTCTAGTCAAGTCAATCCGCACCGATCGAGGGGGAGAGTTCCTGAGCAAGGAGTTTGGGTTGTGGCTGAAGAAGAATGGTATTCGGCACTCCCTCACCATGCCATACTCCCCTGCAATGAACGGCATCGCCGAGCGAGCGAACCGCACAATCACGGAGGCGGCACGCGGGTTGCTCATTGAAGCCGGGCTACCCGACTATTTCTGGCCTGATGCGGTGCGGAGCGCGTGTGTGGGCAAGAACAGAGCCTTGACTCATGTGGGAGCAGACAAATGGGTGCCCTATGTGGAGTGGCTAGGAAGGAAGCCAAAGGTGGATATGCTTCGGGTGTTCGGGTGCATGTGCATGGCGCTCGTGCCTAAGCATCTTCGGCACAACAAGCTTGGTGCCAAGGCGGTGTGGGCCGTGCACTTGGGCATGGCTCAAAACAGCAAGGGATGGCTTCTTTGGGACCCATTCACCAAGAAGTTCTTGGTGAGCAGGGACTGCAAGTTCATGGAGAACTTCATGTACAAGGATTGGAAGGCGGAGAATGAGGCGAAGATAGGCGTGCGGTTTGGGGAGGTGAAGAGTTCCGGTTTGGAGCATGTGGAGCTGCCTTTGGAGCTGAGCAGCGGCAGCACAACCACAAGGCAATCCTCCCTTGTGAATGGGGGAGAGGAGGCCAATGATGCAGAGGAAGAAGAGGAGGAGGTGCAGCAAGTGAGCGAGCGTGCACCGTCACTCCCTTCCCGTACTACGAGTGCTCCACGGATTCGAGCCACACCGCAGCAACGCCAAGGCCTTCAAGTCCCTGCAGCTGAGGAAGGAAGGGGGAAGAGGAGAGTTCAACCCCCTAATAGGCTGACCTATGATGCGCCGGGAAAGCAGGGCAAGACAGCCCTGGCCGGAGCGGCAATGATGGTCGGAGACGACGAGGAGAGTGACTACGAGGAGTGTGCCTTCGCGTTCTTCTCTCCGGTGGAGATGCCGGGAGAACCAGCAACTCTCAAGGAGGCTTTGGAGAGTAGTGATGCTGAGGAGTGGAAGAAGGCCATGGAGAGTGAGCTGAAGAGCATCGAGGAGAATGACACGTTTGAATTGGTGGAGCTACCGGAGGGGCGTACGGCGATAACGTCCAAGTGGCTCTTCAAAATCAAGTCGGATGCCGACGGCAAGATCGAGCGCTACAAGTCTAGGCTTGTAGCCAAGGGGTACCAGCAGAAGGAGAAGGTGGACTTCAAGGAGCTGTTTGCCCCTGTGGTGAAGCCGACGACGCTGCGAACCCTATTCGCGGGAGCCGCCATCAAAGGATGGGTAGTAAAGCAAATGGACATCGTAACGGCATTCCTTAACGGCATCCTTGAGGAGGAGATTTTTATGGCGCAGCCAGAGGGGTTTGATGATGGTAGTGGCAGAGTGTGGAAGCTGAAGAAGGCCCTCTATGGGCTGAAGCAGGCCCCTAGGCAATGGTACATGAAGCTGCGCGAAGTGTTGGAGGGGATCGGCTTCACTCCCTCAACGGCCGATCACTCCTTGTTCATGCTTGGCGAGGGGGAGCAGAGGAGTTTCATGGTGGTTTATGTGGATGACATCCTCATTTTCTCACCCTCTTCTGACCTTGTGAAGGAGGTGATGCTGAAGCTTCAAGACAAGTTCAAGTGCAAGGCCCTTGGTGACGTGAGCTTCTACCTTGGGCTCCACATCGAACGAGATGTGGAGAAGCGGTGCATGCGGGTGCATCAACGAAAGTACCTGGAGGCATTGGCTGCCAACTTTGGGCAGAGTGAAGGCCATGTGGCTACACCCTTTCCCTCTGGGTTCAAGTGTGTGAAGGGACCAGAGGAGGAGAGAGTTGGTGAAGAGGAGAGGCGCCGATTTCACTCGTTGGTGGGCAGCCTCATGTATGCGGCGGTAAACACCCGACCGGACGTCGCGTTTGCTACCGGGCAGCTGGCTAGGGTTGTGCAATGCCCTAATGAGGAGCAGGTAGCAGCTGGAATGAGGGTGGCCAAGTATCTTGGCCAAACACCGACCGTTGGGCTGCAATACTCGGCGGCGGCACAAAGGCGCCAAAAGGGCGCGGATGGTGTTGAACCCGGGCGTTTGTTCCTCACCGCCTACTCGGATGCTTCATATGCATCAGAACCAGAGGACATGACAAGTGTGGGAGGCTTCATATGCTGTGTTGGTGGAGGCCCAACTGCTTGGGAGAGCAAGAAGCAGGTTGACCAAGCTTTGAGCTCGGTGGAGTCCGAGTACATGGCACTCTTCCGTGCCGTACGGGAGATTGTGTGGCAGCGGCGTTTGTTGGCTGAATTGGGGGAGGAGCAGCAAGGACCTACCCCACTGTACTGTGACAGCCAGGGTGCCATTGCTCTTGCTAAGAACCCTGTGTTGCATGGACTCACGAAGCACATGAGGGTGAAGTGGCATTGGACGAGGAGCATGGTAACCGCGGGTGAAGTTGAGTTGCGCTACGTGAAGACCACGGGGCAGCCGGCTGACATGATGACCAAGAGGCTGGTGGAGCAGCAGCATTGGAAGTGTTGCAAGCTGGCTGGGATGGCTCTGAACTGAGAGAGCAACATATCCTAAGGCCAACAAACCGAGGGGGAGTTTGTTGGTGCAACCCTACGGTTTGCACTCGGCTTGTTGTCCGTGTGCGTGAATGTGTGTGTGTATGGAATGGTATGAGGGCATGGGATAATATATATTTCATGCTTATAATTGTGTGTGAATGTTGAGTCATGATGTCGAGTGTGTGTGTCGAGTCAATAGCGAGTTATCGCTAGACGCGTGTTACGCGGTCGTTTGTGTCTCGCGCGCGGTTTCTATTTTGTCGTGCGCGGTTTCTATTTTGTCCTGTGTCGAACGTTCGGCGTGTCGCAGGTGTGTGCAGCAGACCCATCAAGAACTCAAGGATGAGTTTGTGATGAAGAGCCCGAGCCTTGGTGTCAAGCCTCAAGTGATTTCGAAGCTCGCCAAAAGGGTACACCTCAAGATATTGAAGATAGTTACAATACTTTGTGTAGTGTAACATTTCACTTGGTGTAGGCCCTAGTGAAGGGTAGTTTCGAGACCCTTCGTGGTTGGGGACAGTGTGGCACTGTTCCACATCACTGTACCTCGGCTCTTGGGGTTTGTAGGAGCTGGGAGTCATTCCCAACTCGTAACTCTTCCTATCTTGTGTTCTAAGACTATAGTGGCTGCCATAGTACCGTTCGTTCAAACCGACGCTGTGTCGTCAATTCTTTATCAAATCGTGCAATCTAAATTGATAATTGTAGACGACGTGAAGACGCTCCAGATCCAATTTGAATCAAGTCATTTCCAGCTGTGAGCAGAACGCTATCAGCGTTTGAAGCCGCTGTGCAGAAATCCGTCTGTGCTCTCTATCTTTCGTTTTAGGCACATTCAAGCCTATTGTGACTATAACACACCCCGCCCCATTCTCCCGCTTTCCATCACCCCGCCCCATTCTCCCGCTTTCCATCACCCCGCCCCATTCTCCCTCTTTCCATCACCCCGCCCTGTTCTCCCGCTTTCCATCACCCCGCCCCAATCTCCCGCTTTCCATCACCCCGCCCCATTCTCCCGCTTTCCATGACCCCGCCCCATTCTCCCGCTTTCCATCACGTTGCCCCATTCTCCCGCTTTCCATCACCCAGCCCCATTCTCCCGCTTTCCATCACCCCACCCCATTCTCCCGCTTTCCATCACCCAGCCCCATTCTCCCTCTTTCAATCACCCCGCCCCATTCTCCCTCTTTCCATCACCCCGCCCCATTCTTCCTCTTTCCATCACCCCGCCCATTCTCCCTCTTTCCATCACCCAGCCCCATTCTCCCACTTTCCATCACCCCACCCCTTTCTCCCGCTTTCCATCACCCCGCCCCATTCTCCCGCTTTCCATCACCCCGCCCCGATGGAAAGCGGGAGAAAGGGGCGGGCTGATGGAAAGCGGGAGAATGGGGCGGGGTGATGGAAAGCGGGAGAATGGGGCGGGGTGATGGAAAGCGGGAGAACGGGGCAGGGTGATGGAAAGCAGGAGAATGGGGCGGGGTGATGGAAAGAGGGAGAATGGGGCGGGGTGATGGAAAGAGGGAGAACGGGGCGGGGCGATGGAAAGAGGGAGAATGGGGCTGGGTGATGGAAAGCGGGAGAAAGGGGCGGGCTGATGGAAAGCGGGAGAATGGGGCGGGGTGATGGAAAGCGGGAGAATGGGGCGGGGTGATGGAAAGCGGGAGAACGGGGCAGGGTGATGGAAAGCAGGAGAATGGGGCGGGGTGATGGAAAGAGGGAGAATGGGGCGGTGTGATGGAAAGAGGGAGAACGGGGCGGGGCGATGGAAAGAGGGAGAACGGGTGGGGTGATGGAAAGAGGGAGAATGGGGCGGGGTGATGGAAAGCGGGAGAATGGGGCGGGGTGATGGAAAGCGGGAGAATGGGGCGGGGCGATGGAAAGAGGGAGAATTGGGCGGGGTGATGGAAAGCGGGAGAATGGGGCGGGGTTATGGAAAGCAGGAGAATGGGGCGGGGTGATGGAAAGAGGGAGAAAGGGGCGGGGTGGATCGTGACGAGCGAGGATCGTGACGAGCGAGCATCGTGATGAGCGAGCATCGTGACGAGCGAGCATCGTGACGAGCGAGCATCGTGACGAGCGTGCGTCGTAACGAGCGAGCATCGTGACAGGTTTCGATTTATATCTGGTAGTTTCTTATAAACAAAATTTCAAGTTTTTTCCATATATATATATATATATCTATCTAAAACTCTAATTTGTAGAAGAACATTTGATCACATGAAATCTGACGGCCTCGTCTGCCGACAAATGCTAAAGAAGAAAAGCGTTGAACGACCTGAATGTTATTGCATATTCGGGTGGCCCATGCTCAAATATACATACCAACGCAATTCCCGCTTGGTTCGCGCGCACAGAAAAGTTCGCCGCATGCGACGACGGCCGCGTGTGCCGACAGATGCAAAGGAAGCGCTCAGATCCATATAGGTGTAGGGAAAAGCGTCAAACGACATGAATTTCGTTGCTTATTCGGGTGGCCCATGCTGAAATACACCTACCAGAGCAATTCCGGCTTGGTTCGCGCGCACAGAAAAGTTCGGCTCCTACGACGACGGCCGCGTCTGCCGACAAACGCTAAGGAAGTGCTCGGATCCCTATAGGCGTACGGAAAAGCGTCGAACGACCTAAAATTCGTTGCATACTTGGGTGGCCCTTGCTCAAATACACTGACCAGAGCAGTTTCGGCTTGGTTCGCGCGCACAGAAAAGTTTGGCGCCTGCGACGACGGCCGCGTGTGCCAACAGATGCATAGGAAGCGCTTGGATCCCTATAGGCGTAGGGAAAAGAGTCGAACGACCTGAGTGTTGTTGCTTATACATGTGTCCTATGCTTAAATACACCTACCAGAGCAATTCCGGCTTGGTTCGCGCGCACAAAAAAGTTCTGTGATGACGGTCGCGACTGCCGACAAATGCTAAGGAAGCGCACGGATCCCTATAGGCGTAGGGAAAAGCATCGAACGGCCTGAATGTTGTTGCTTATTCGGATGGCCCATGCTTAAGTACACCTAACAGAGCAATTTCGGGTTGGTTCGCGCGCACATAAAAGTTCGGCGCTTGCGATGACGGCCGCGTCTGCCGGCAAATGCTAAAGAAGCGCTCGGATCCCTATAGGCGTAGGGAAAAGAGTCGAACGACCTGAGTGTTGTTGCTTATACGGATGGCCCATGCTTAAATACACCTACCAGAGCAATTCCGGCTTGGTTCGCGCGCACAGAAAAGTTCGGCGCCTCCGATGACGGCCGCGTCTACCGACAAATTCTAAGGACGCGCACGGATCCCTATAGGCGTAGGGAAAAGCATCGAATGACCTGAATGTTGTTGCAGATTCGAGTTGCCCATGCTCAAATACACCTACCAGAGCAATTCCGGCTTGGTTCGTTCGCATAGAAAAGTTTGGCGCCTGCGATGACGGCCGCGTCTGCCGACAAATGCTAAAGAAGCGCTCGGATCCCTATAGGCGTAGGGAAAAGAGTCAAACGACCTGAGTGTAGTTGCTTATTCGGATGGCCCATGCTTAAATACACCTACCAGAGCAATTCCGGCTTGGTTCGCGCGCACAGAAAAGTTCGGCGCCTGCGATGACGGCCGCGACTGCCGACAAATGCTAAGGAAGCGCACGGATCCCTATAGGCGTAGGGAAAAGCATCGAATGACATGAATGTTGTTGCTTATTCGGATGGCCAATGCTTAAATACACCTACCAGAGCATTTTGGGTTGGTTCGCGCGCACAAAAAAGTTCGGCGCTTGCGATGACGGTCGCGTCTGTCGACAAATGCTAAGGAAGCGCACGGATCCCTATAGGCGTAGGGAAAAGCATCAAACGACCTAAATGTTGTTGCATATTCGGGTGGCCCATGCTCAAATACACCTACCAGAACAATTCCGGCTTGGTTCGCGCGCATAGAAAAGTTCGGCGCCTGCGATGACGGCCGCGTCTGCCGACAAATGCTAAAGAAGCGCTCGGATCCCTAGGCGCGTAGGGAAAAGTGTCGAATGACCTGACTGTCGTTGCATATTCGGGTGGCCCATGCTCAAATACACCCACCTGAGCAATTCCAGCTTGGTTCACGCGCACAGAAAAGTTCGGCGCCTGCGATGACGGCCGCGTCTGCCGACAAATGCTAAGGAAGCGCATGGATCCTAATCGGCGTAGGGAAAAGTGTCGAACAACCTAAATTTCGTTGCATATTTGAATGGCCCATGCTGAAATACACCTACCGGAGCAATTCCGGCTTGGTTCGCGCGCACAGTAAAGTTCGGCGCCTGCGATGACGACCGCGTGTGCCGACAAATGCTAAAGAAGCGCTCGGATCCTTATAGGCGTAGGAAAAAGCGTCAAACAACCTGAATTTTGTTGCATATTCAGGTGGCTCATGCTTGAATACACCCACTAGAGAAATTCCGGGTTGGTTCGCGCGCACAGAAAAGTTCGGCGCCTGCGATGACGGCCGCGTCTGCCGACAAATGCTAAAGAAGCGCTCGGATCCCTGTAGGCGTAGGGAAAAGAGTCAAACGACCTGGGTGTTGTTGCTTATTCGGATGGACCATGCTTAAGTACACCTACCAGAGCAATTCCGGCTTGGTTCGCGCGCACAAAAAAGTTCGGCGCCTCCAATGACGGCCGCGTCTACCGACAAATTCTAAGGACGCGCACGGATCCCTATAGGCGTAGGGAAAAGCATCGAATGACCTGAATGTTGTTGCAGATTCGAGTTGCCCATGCTCAAATACACCTACCAGAGCAATTCCGGCTTGGTTCGTTCGCATAGAAAAGTTTGGCGCCTGCGATGACGGCCGCGTCTGCCGACAAATGCTAAAGAAGCGCTCGGATCCCTATAGGCGTAGGGAAAAGAGTCGAACGACCTGAGTGTTGTTGCTTATTCGGATGGCCCATGCTTAAGTACACCTACCATAGCAATTCCGGCTTGGTTCGCGCGCACAGAAACGTTCGGCGCCTACGATGACGGCCGCGACTGCCGACAAATGCTAAGGAAGCGCACGGATCCCCATAGGCGTAGGGAAAAGCATCGAACGAAATGAATGTTGTTGCTTATTCGGATGGCCCATGCTTAAATACACCTACCAGAGCAATTTCGGCTTGGTTCGCGCGCACAAAAAAGTTCGGCGCCTGCGATGACGGCCGCGTCTGTCGACAAATGCTAAGGAAGCGCACGGATCCTTATAGGCGTAGGGAAAAGCATCAAACGACCTAAATGTTTTTGCAAATTCGGGTGGCTCATGCTCAAATACACCTACCAGAGCAATTCCGGCTTGGTTCGCGCGCATAGAAAAGTTTGGCGCCTGCGATGACGGCCGCGTCTGCCGACAAATGTTAAAGAAGCGCTCGGATCCCTATGCGCGTAGGGAAAAGTTTCGAACGACCTGACTGTCGTTGCATATTCGGGTGGCCCATGCTCAAATACACCCACCTGAGCAATTCCAGCTTGGTTCACGCGCACAGAAAAGTTCGGCGCCTGCGATGACGGCCGCGTCTGCCGACAAATGCTAAGGAAGCGCATGGATCCCTATCGGCGTTGGGAAAAGCGTCGAACAACCTAAATGTCGTTGCATATTTGGATGGACAATCCTGAAATACACCTACCGGAGCAATTCCGGCTTGGTTCGCGCGCACAGAAAAGTTCGGCGTCTGCGATGACGGCCGCGACTGCCGACAAATGCTAAGGAAGCACACGGCGTAGGGAAAAGCATCAAACGACCTGAATGTTGTTGCTTATTCGGATGGCCCATGCTTAAATACACATACCAGAGCAATTCCAGCTTGGTTCGCGCGCATAGAAAAGTTCAGCGCCTGCGATGACGGCCGCGTCTGCCGACAAATGCTAAGGAAGCCCTCGGATCCCTATAGGCGTAGGGAAAAGAGTCGAACAACCTGAATGTCGTTGCATATTCGGGTGGCGCATGCTCAAATAAACCTACCAGAACAAATCCATCTTGGATCGCGCGCAAAGAAAAGTTCGGCGCCTGCGATGACGGCCGCGTCTGCCGACAAATGCTAAGGAAGCGCTCGGATCCCTATAGGCATAGGGAAAATGTTATAGTCACAATAGGCTTGAATGTGCCTAAAACGAAAGATAGAGAGCATAGACGGATTTCTGCACAGCGGCTTCAAACATTGATAGCGTTCTGCTCACAGCTGCAAATGACTTGATTCAAATTGGATCTGGAGCGTCTTCACGTCATCTACAATTATCAATTTAGATTGCACGATTTGATAAATAATTGACGACACAGCGTCGGTTTGAACGAACGGTACTATGGCAGCCACTATAGTCTTAGAACACAAGATAGGAAGAGTTACGAGTTGGGAATGACTCCCAGCTCCTACAAACCCCAAGAGCCGAGGTACATTGATGTGGAACAGTGCCACACTGTCCCCAACCACGAAGGGTCTCGAAACTACCCTTCACTAGGGCCTACACCAAGTGAAATGTTACACTACACAAAGTAATGTAACTATCTTCAATATCTTGAGGTGTACCCTTTTGGCAAGCTTCGAAATCACTTGAGGCTTGACACCAAGGCTCGGGCTCTTCATCACAAACTCATCCTTGAGTTCTTGATGGGTCTGCTGCACACACCTGCGACACGCCGAACGTTCGACACAGGACAAAATAGAAACCGCGCACGACAAAATAGAAACCGCGCGCGAGACACAAACGACCGCGTAACACGCGTCTAGCGATAACTCGCTATTGACTCGACACACACACTCGACATCATGACTCAACATTCACACACAATTATAAGCATGAAATATATATTATCCCATGCCCTCATACCATTCCATACACACACACATTCACGCACACGGACAACAAGCCGAGTGCAAACCGTAGGGTTGCACCAACAAACTCCCCCTCGGATTGTTGGCCTTAGGATATGTTGCTCTCTCAGTTCAGAGCCATCCCAGCCAGCTTGCAACACTTCCAATGCTGCTGCTCCACCAGCCTCTTGGTCATCATGTCAGCCGGCTGCCCCGTGGTCTTCACGTAGCGCAACTCAACTTCACCCGCGG